CGTCGCACTCGGCTGCGAACCTTTCTACGGAGCACTGGAGATCAGTTTCGGAAGATGCTAATAAAACAAGTCCGTCCAACGTTGAATTTATTATTGTTTATGTATTTCCCTTTTTTTGCACACTCAAAAGAGTAATACCGGTCAATCGCTTGCATCAAAGACATCATGCAAATGAACTGAGTTTGAGTGAGAAACACGACTGATCAAAATACTATGACGTAAGATGCCAAGATTTATGATGTGTTTGATCTGGTCTGTTTTGATAGAAGAGCAATGAAACTCGGAGCTCCTACATAGCAGAGCAATCAATCGATGAAGTAGTAATTGTTTAGTGCTTCAGGCTACCCTCAGAAATATTCTGAAATTACTTTAGAGCAGAAGATTCGCCGCAGGACAACTTTCGTCGGAGGTGGAGGCGTTAAGAAATACGTTGAATAAAATAAGTCAATTGAATAGTACAAAGCATAAAAATTTATTTTAATGACGAGAAAAACGGTTTCTGCAATAATAAAAACAGCCTAGTATTAACTTGAGACGTCATTTCAAAGTGTTAAACGCCACAAATCCGAGTCATCAGCTGTTCAACGTTCGACAGCTATGTCAACAGCAGAATTTTCTGCCACCGTCATTACGTACTGCTATTTCTCAGGTATCTTCAAAAATACGTATAAATAATTTTTGACATCTGTTTTACTTTTATTGACTTCATCGGCAATAAGATAACAGAAGCGTCATCTGTGACTGAAAACGCCTTTCAAGTCCCAGCTATAATTTATTGCTTTATATCTAGCTAGTGATTTCTTTGGTTTTATCATGATTTTGTAGGTTAAATACTTGAAAATCATCAGAAGACGGTAGCATTTACTAAATATCCTTAACAAACAGCGGCCAGTCAGAATTAAAAAGGTTATAACTGATATTTCCAATAACGTAGTATCGGTTAAGTCTCATTAAGCGATTAGTCATCATCCAGGCAGAGAGAAGAGATTCGATTATTAGAAAACGAGGTTGACGAAGCCACAAGAACTGAGAGATCATCCTTGATACTTTCGTGGCATGGCAAATTCACTGCAAATTCTGCATGTTTCTTATGTTGGTCACCGCCAAAAAGACAAAACGGTGTGGCGGCGAAGCGCCGATGGGCGCGGCTGTCCGACTTGCAGGCGCTGAGGGAGTCTCCTCCTCCTCCTGTCTTTCCTCCTCCACCTCATCCTCGGTCTGGACGACTTCAGCGCGTGACTCGTTTCTACCAGCAGCAGCAGCAGCTGCCCGATCGCGCGCTAAAGTTGTCTGCAAGCGAACGAAGCGCATTCAACGAGTGTGTCCACAACCGCCACAAGCTACGCCGCAGTCACCGTGTGTTGCTTCGCGAGTGAGTGCCAGTCGTTCGTTTTCTTCCCCCAGCCATCTGGTACGTATCAGATGAGTTTTCAAGCGTTTAATGAGGCTTGCGAATTTTCCCACGGTCTTCATCAATGACCACTGACAACAAGGACCAGACGTCGATTGTCCTAAGGTCCGCATAGAGTATGCTTTGTCACGTGTTTTGCGTCAACCGACCCTAGAGTCAGGCTCTCTCAATACTCTGTCTGAATAAAAGTACCTCAGATGAAGAACTGTTATGTTTTAGCGCTCTTTCAATTTCAAATTAATTCACACGGCATTTTCCATCTATAATTAGACCCTTTTTGTCATCCTTTTATAATATTTCCTGTAATTAGAAAGAGAAGGCTTCTGTTCACGCATAATTATCTTGACCAAAGATTTTTTATGTCATCAAACGATCCTGTCTTTTGGTTCTGAGTTGAGGATCTTATGCAGAGATATGATATTTTTCTTACACTCATTCGAAAGATTTACAGCGGACAATTCGCCTGTAATGAATCTAGTGATGTTTTTCACATACCAACGGCTTATAAGTTCCATTTATATTTTTCGGCTTAGGCTCGTTGTCATCGCGTAAATACCTTTGCAAAGTCTGCATTAGTAGCTTCGGAATTATTCTGATAATCTTAGAGATTTAAACAAAGCAATAGCAGTGAGTCGTAGTATCAACCTATTTTTATGACATCGTTTGCCTCCCAAATGCATTCAACATCTCGGTACAAGAAACTACCTTCTTGGTGATCCACTACAAAAAATGGTAGAGTAATGTACTTATAACAGTTAATACTTCTCGTTGGTGTAGGTGCAAAAAATGGATCTAGGAAAAGAATAAATTAATTCCCTGCTTGGTAGTAAGTCATATTCAGTTGTGTTAAACCAAAATCTTCGTAGGAATCAGAAGGATATTTGATATTTTAGTTTTGCGGTTTACATTTGTATTCTGTAATCAGCGATCTCTGATGTCATCGATTCAATAGAACAAGCTTCCAAGACATGGCACATTCCTCTGCAGCTTATTTATAAATGAATATGAAGGAGTCATTAATTTCTAGCCCTTTTATCACGTTCAGTCATTAACAGTAGCACAACGCTCCGGTTACTGATTTTCGTTGCATTGCTAGGTTCATAACAGTTTAACGCAGAGTAGGGGATTATGATCTCATCGACCGAGCAAACCGAATGTGCCTCTATAGTGTTCATGCATACGTTGCGCTTCTTCGTGAAGGATTCATGCGAAGAGGTCGCTGGTTATGAATAATTGTTATTTTCAACCAACTTCTCAAACAATGCCAATCTTTCTATACCCCTTAAATTTTTAATGGATTCCCATGCTTCAGATATAACAGAGTCACTTATTAATATTTCAGATTTGACTTAAATTATGCGCCAACACCAGCGGTGCTTAATGCTATCGAGCCATCATTGCTGACCCCTTATTCGGACATCGGTCTTCGTTTTGTATATAAGCAAAGCCCTCTGATAAAACCAACGGGTTACTTAGAAGCGAGTTTCTGCACAAAGAGTATTTTTTACCACTCCATACATTGGGCGTGCTACCGGAAGCATTCAGACAGACAGACATCTGTGATTATTATTCTCCTGTTTAATTCTAATTCACTAGTAGAGTCGTCTTTGAACATGATGGAACTGAAATGCTCAATGCTGGAACTGGCCAGCCAATATTACTGTTTTTCCCTCCATGCATCCCTACGGATCTTCTCTTACGGATAAACTTTAAATGTCGAGTGTCAAAGAGAAGGCATTCCCTACATTACAGTGCTGCAAGCCTCGATTGGCAGGCGGTGGAGCCAGTTCCGGCGTTATTCACCACGAAATATCACATGCATCTATAGATCAACAAGATATTTGGAAATGTATCTTGAACTAAGTCTCCCTTTTATTTATGCTCAAATCAACACTTCTTTAGTCTTCAGTTAAACCACTGGCGTAGCAGAGACGAACTAACGCTCCTCAATTAGTAGACAGTCACTGAGGAAGTCATTAATCTCTTGTAATAGCAGACTGTTTCTTTACAACCCCCCCCCCAATACAAGCAAGCTTATGGTATTCCATCACAATTCAATGCTATCCAGATTGTCAGAGGACGATGTGGCTATAAGTGTTGTGAAAGAGTCTGTTCAAAACGGTAAGTGTTACACCGGTAAAGTAAACTGATGTAAAGCATTCCTTTTTTGCTCTCTACGTTTCTTTATTTATAAATTATGGATGTTACATATAATTCGTCCGCTTTTTCAAGTAGATAGCAAATTCAGTCCTGATAATCGAAATGCACTAGATTTGCTATTTCCTTTTTACCTCTGGCACATAAGCTGCATGCTGCAAAGACCAGTTGTTAACTCAAAATGCCTTGAAACCCACTTTCGACCTTGCAAAGAATTATGTTTCAAGGGCAAGTCCATGCTACTCAATGGTTAACAGGGGAAAAGATTTGTTTTGGGTGTTACAAGGATTCATGAAAGGAACCATAGAAAATTCTTATGCAATATCCTTACTTTTTTTCTTACATGCTAATCGAATAAGATTTATCAGGCCTGCTAGTCAAAAACATCTCTCTTTAAACTTCGATTTATTTCAGTTTAAAATTGCTCATGAACGTCACTTTTACAATCCTGTAACTTGATCTCCTCCGGACGTTGGCACATTTTGCTTATTTCCTTAAATGTGAGGCAGGAACAGACAGGCCGGCTAGAAACACAATACAGAAAATATATGAAAATAATATCAAGAAAATCTAAAACGGTTAGTGCTGCTGCTGAAATAAAAAGAAATGAATTGCTACATGGTCTCTATTTGAATAGCTGGTCTGAAAAAGAATGACGTCAGCTGATCGTCTTAGGATACGTAACCTCGAAAGTAAATAATGCTATGAATAATACGCATGAGTAAAATATTTTGCTTACGACAGCGACTAAGTGAGGAACAGTTGGCACTAACAGCCACAAAGAAGGCTATTTGCTTACAGTAATAGGGAATCTCAGCCATCTGCAAAAAAAATAGGCGTCTCGGTTTCTTTTCCATGGCGATATGCTTAACAGAGTTTGCCGTCCGTGTTGTAATAGCACGAGCAACCCTCAGTGATGCAGTGTCTCCCAGAATATATTATGAGCGTTGTCAAAAATTTTTCAACTTACGGCTGACGGCTGACTGACCTCTGTTGAACTGAGGTTCGTCTTAATGAGTGTGTGCAAACATGAACAATTGAAAGGCTTCAGCAATTCGAAATGTCGCTAATCCCAAATTATACAAATATATCGCATTTGAAGTGCAGCTGGATCTGCATCCTTAAAACTCAGTGTGTCATAGTTAGATGACGTTTTGTGAATCGATGTATTATTAAGATTTATGAATGAAACATGAAATGAAGTATGATCCCGATGTTAGTGGGTCACTTCCACTTTTAAAGATCATATAAAAGAGCTTGTGAAAGGTGATCTGATATGTTCAGAAAGAACAACGTTAAATGATTTTTCAATTCGAGATGAATACAGCAAATCTATCTCTCTCAAAGAGGAGGGATCAAGAAATTAGACTCAGAAGTCACTATTGTGAAGTTGGCGTAGAGGTTGACCACTAAGCCTTTCTGAAACATCAGTCAGTCAGTCAGTCAGTTTCGACAACCATTTATCCCTTCCAATTGCACCGGCGAAAGCTTCAGACAGTCTTTAACGTTTCCAGTCCAGCACAAGCGTTTCCGGCATTGGCAGAAGATAACCTGAGTCTGGAGCAGAGCCCCTTGATACGCTTTCCCCGGCTTATTTCTAGTCGTCCCCCTGGGTCTTTGGTTGGTTAGCTAAGTATTAGCAGTTTCGTTTTTCTCTCTGGAAGCATTCGCAGGACGTACCCCAAGTGCAGCAGCGATGATCTCAATCTGGAGAAACAGCGGCGGTGCATGGAGGCTCTCCACTTATCCGAACTCCGGACCATGTGACGATGCGTGAGCCCGGCGATTTGTCCCAGAAAGCCAACATCAGAAGTTTGCAGAAGCGTTTCAGCCATCGCCTATGACCCGTGACCGCAGGACGGCATCGAATGAAGATGCACTTAAATATCGAAGGCTTGGTCTTTAGACTCAGCTCTGCTATAGTCACAGCGCTGGTTCATGCAGAATACCCCTAGCCATTCTAGTTTTCCGGTTTCCTCCCATTTTTCATCACTGGTAAACATGACCTCAAGGAAGCTGAACTTCTCCACCTGTTCTACAGCTACATTTTATTAGCTCGCCCATTGAGCTCACCTCACTCACCCATGGTACATGCCTTAATTTTGAACTGTTTCAGACATCGCTGATAACGGCTTCCTATCATTAAGCTGATATGTTCAGCTATGACTTGTGTCAAGGGAAATTATGGCAATTAGAATGTGCGTGAGGGACATCATTGAGAAGAGTTATATACGACCCAGCATGCGTGGGCATGGTGTCGCATTCAGCTGTATTCCTTGCTCAGTGAGAACGCAGATGTAGATACATTTATCAGAAGTGAAGGATGGAGATATCCTTGCCCATGAATGCGGTGAGGTGCAAAGAGTGGAACATTTGTGAATCACTTCCTCACACATATCTAAAGCGATGTAATAAAAGCGACATGTTTGGCCACCTGGACTACGCTGAGATTGTGGTTTCGGCTAAAAGGGCATTCCTTGTGCCGTATGAAAGAAGAATAATTAAAGTTAGCACTAAATTAGCCAAGATGATTTTCTCAGCTGAATTTCAATATAGCGTTTGAGCATACCCGACTGAAAACAGTCAGCGGCTTTGCTAGAAGTCATACTTGCATCTGATCGCAGTTAAGCGCGTGACTCTTTAGTGCATCGTGGAAGTGGCGTGATTTAAAGAACAGCCAAAATTCATAAATGGAAAATTTGTAAGAATAACTAACTGAAATTACAGCTGAGTTGGACAGTCTTTTAAACGAAAGGAAAGTTGGTATCAACGGCCAGCAGCGGTGACAGCTACTCATCTACAACTGTCTAAGAACGCATGAAAATTCTTCATTACAGTGAAAAGTGTCATCGTCCATTCA